TCGCCTAAAAGTGAGCAGAGTAGGCGATAGTCTGATAAATTGGGGTAGAGAGTTCCAGATGATGGGGGAGGCTCTGGAGAAGTCCTGGAGATGAGCATGGGGGGGGAGACAAGGGAGCTAGAAAGTAGGAGGTCGTGATGGTGGGAACCCATTTTGCAAATATGCAAATGTAATCTGCATTTTAGGACAGAGTCTACTTGCATTGATATTCACTCCTAGACAGAGTAACAATTGCTTTAAATGGGCTGTTTAGAAATATGTGCATTGCAGCAAGCAGAGTTGTGGTGTGAATGGGTCCTTTGGTTTGTTAGGTTCTAAACCGCTCAGCTGTATGCTTGACTGTCGACTGATAGAGGGCAAAATTTCTAAAAGTCATTGCATTAATGCATCTAATATCATGTATGTAATCATGTTTATGTGCATATGTATGCACGTTTACACGTATATGGCAATAAGCATAAATGCATTCTACTGGCCAGACTATTCATTTATTCTGGCCAATAGAATACATTTACACTCATATAAATTATGCTCATAAGCTCCTCTCTGAATGCAGCTTTGGTGCACTATTTTTAAAGCCTCTAAATGCTGCTCATAAAACACTGATTTAAACACCTGATGTGAATGGCCACATACGCTATTATAGAGCTGCATTTAGAGGCTTAAAAAAAGTCATAATACATGAAACCTGAATTTTACTGGAACACTTTATTCAATGACTGTATTATGTGACTCCAGTTCTCTTTTCCAACTTTGATTTTTAAACCATTACCTGCATCTGTGACACCTGGGTCTAGCACTAAGTTCAAAAATACACTCCTTTGCTCTGGGGCATAATGTAACCATAGTGCATCTGTTTTGTGGTTACAGGAGAATTCCTATGATGTCATCTCTAACCAATTTGATTCAGTCTCATCTGAAGTAACAGATCACAGTGGTCTTCCTTGCAGATACCACCACTTAAAGTCAGTCTTTAACTACTAGAAAAATCCAAGCAGTCTGAATTCCTACCTTCATCCCAATTTACATCCTCTGTTGTAATTTTTGTTAAATAACAATATACTTGCTTAGAAAAAGAGCTGTAAATTTGTGCTCACATGATAATTGGTGTCTCTTCTCTGTTGTTCCAGCGTTGGTCATAGGATTCCTCACTTGCTCAAATGTTTAAACATATGAGCGTTGTATTGTCACTTTTTTCTATTGCATTCCTCACAGTAATTATCATGAACCCACCCCCCCATGACCAGTGGGCCTGTTCATAATAGCCTCTTTTCATATGCCCTGGATAAATAACGCTGGGTGTTAATGAATCATGAAGAGAGGCGGCAGCTACTGAAAATAGAGGACGCAGCAAAGGACACAGAGACTTTGATAAATATTACCCAGACAAAGGAGGGGAAAATAATATGAAATAAATAAAAAAAAAAAAAATGGATTTGGACTTAAAACTGATTCAGCAGCTCATTAGGAAAAAAGTGTAGAAAAATTATTTAAAAAAATGAAATAAAATCCCCCCCTCCCCATTACCTTTCAACCTGGTGCTCTGTTATTTAACACGTTTGCAATTGTAGGAGTGTCAAAAGTTAATTTTCAGCTGGACTCTGACCCCGTGACACTTCAACTTATGTGCAATACTCAGATGAAGTTAAATAAAAGAGTACACACCTTTCATTAAACCCACATCATTATTTAATGATGGGATGTTCAGATTCATGAAAAAGCACAATCTTTATCATCAAAATTTTCCCCCAGTCAAATGAATCAGTCTTTAACTGTCTAATTTTCAAATTTAAATATTTTACAATTTACAAATGTACCTATCTAGCATCTAGCTCATATATTACAATAGTATTGCAAGTTGTCAGTTATCTGGCACAGAAGTAGATTTGTCATGGTGGTCAGGATTCAAGGACAATAATGACAAAACTCGTATATAGAGCTATGCTGTCTGCCAGCCTTAACCCTGCTGACATAACATGACTCTATATCTAATATTTAAATGTATCTTAGCTGTTCTTTGATGAATAAATTCGCTTTTTTAAATGCGTGGAGATTGGAATATGGGCTTACTTCCCACCATGCCATAGCTATTACCCTTCAATTTATAAAAAAAAATTTACATTGTACTACAATGTAGTTATGAACATTGTTATATGACAATACTAACCTGATAGGGGCTAAAACAACTAATACATCTACAGTTGATCCTATTGAAGTGGGCATGTGTCTATATTATTGGCAAGCAAACCATGTGCTATTTGAGAGAGTTGAGCTGAGCAGTTCCTTAGGTGGCACCGTATCTGCTGTTTTCATTGATGCCCCTGTGGTCTCATAACTGTGTTTTGTCTCTTAGTCACAGCTCTTCGCATTATCCTCATTGAAAAATTGAGAAACTCTAACCATATTTCTGTATCTTGAGGCATGACAATCATTAACTACCTCTCTTTCCCATCTCTCAATGCATTAGGGAGCAGAGTAGTAAAATGAATTTGTTTTCCATCAGGCAACATAAAAGTCCTGGCTTGGGCTCAGTGCAACTTTCGGATGGTGGTATTTATCAAGTCAGTGTAATGAGAACCAAAAATAGGAATTCAGTGAAAATACACTATATTTCCTTTAGTAAGGAGATACAAAACACAATGATCCTGTGCAAATTACAGTAACACATATAAAATCTAAATTAAATTAGAATGTATTCCTATTATAAATTAAAATTGTTAGTGTTATTGCTCTTTGCATTGTCTTATTAAGCAAGACCAAACTTTTAAGGTTTGGGTATTTTACCCTTCCAGCTATGTATGGCAGTCCTGCACACTATACAATCAGGAGTAGACAAATTGTACTGTATGGTGACTTAATGTAATCCTTTGTCCTCCATTGTAGCTAATATTCTGGCTTAGTGGCATATTCTTTGTTTTTGCTTTCTTGTTTAAATTTGACACATTTTACCTTTTTTTGTATATTGTATATTTAATTAAAATGTTAACAATAATTCAAAGTATATATACAATTCCAAGGATAAGAACTAATGGTTGTTGTGCCACCATTGGTTTAGTCATATGGTAAAGGGTCATATTGGAAGGGAAAAATATTTGCATTTACCCTTTTTATGTTGCCTAGTTGTATTGATGTTCTTTGTCAAATATGCAAATAAGTTCTCTATTTAAAATGGAGGAGCAAATATGCAAATAAGTTCTCTATTTAAAATGGAGGAGCATTTCATAAATACATTTTATGTTGCCTAGTTGTATTGATGTTCTTTGTCAAATATGCAAATAAGTTCTCTATTTAAAATGGAGGAGCATTTCATAAATACATTTCGAAAACGCATTTAACAATACTGATACTCAGACTAAGTATATCACAGATTTGTTGATGGTGATTAGCTGGTATGGGAAGTGCAGAAAACAAATAGTAAAATGATCCCTATAAGTAAAACAAAAAAAATGCCTTCGGTATAAATGTTGTGTAATATTTTTTGTTCAGAAGTTTTTTTTGTTCTCTCAGCTACCAAAAGGCGGCACCATACTTTGAGATTGGTGTACAGGAATTCAGATGTTACTTGCATCTTGCTATCTGTCCTGTTAACATTTTACATATTCACCCATGAATGTTATTATAACAGCTAAAAAACTTTCAATTTTTGTATAGCAGCCATTTAAGTTAAAAATAAAAGTCAGATTAATGTCAGCTTAGGCACAGCTGCTCATAAAACTGAAACAACATTTTTTTCAGGAGTAGCTTTTCACTCTTTGCCATGACTGTATAATTGTTGTGAAGAGGTACTTATTGAATTACTATAGTTGGATTACAATACCATGTACAATATATAGGAAGGGCAAGGGTTTGGCAGACAAGGAAGCTTTCTGTGGGACACAGGCTCTCTATTAAATGCAATTACATTTCCCCCTGCTTTAATAGATTAGCTATTATGTAAAATGCTATATCGCTGATCTGGAGTAACCATGTAAACTAGTGCTATACATAACACAAGACTTAGATGCACAATTTGCATATATGCTTAAAGCATTAATTTGATTTGACCATTTTCCATGTAATCCATTTTCCTTAAGGAAAGTATTATCAAACCAATTTTCTTTTCTTTTGTAGACCTTCTTCTTTCCAGTTCATGTCAACATTCTACTCATGGATGTATAATCCTGTTGTATAGCCACTTGGTAGGAATCTTATTGGTGATTATTTCTCATTCATACACCCTCTACCACAGGGGTGGATCATGGCAGTAGGAAGCCCCTAGGGCTAATGGTAAAGTCTGCAAGTGTGGAAAGGGCCCTGTCACATTCACGGCTTCAGGCCCTATCTTCCACCCACAGTATCTATACAGGTCATTTATGTTCTGAAAGCATAGTTATTCTTGTCACACATAATAGAATGGTCTTAAAAAACTGTTATCTTTTTCCCCCACTTGTACATATTCTTATATCTCAGATTTCCCACATGGCTCTACATGACAGTAATGATGGTGATGACCCATATGGCAAGGATTCACAAGACCAAAGGTGTTGATATTTAGCTGTAAACCTCATTATATCCTTAAAAGTTATTCTGTGTGTAGTAAAAATACAATGACTGGAGGTGTAAAAAAGACTTTACAGAGGAATCTATTTAAAGTACAAAATGTGAGAGAATGGTGGATTAACCTCTTTGCTGTACTAGGATGCTGGGATTTTTTTTGCAGCTGAGAGGTTAATGATGAGAGATGACATGTGATATATTTATAAAGCTTTTTCTTACCATAATGTATTGGAGCAAGTTTTGTCTTCAATTAAGAAGACAAGAAGCTTTTTTTTAATAAAAGCTAAACTCTTTCTTTCTAAAGAACCTACAATTTGAAAATTAAATGCAGTGTGCAAACACTAAAATCATTTTAATGGCTGAATATCTTACCTTGAATTTGCAGCACTATTGCTAATGCAGTCCCTTCAGGATCAGAAAAAATAGACCTAGCATCTTCAAAAAAAGTGATCTAACTGCATAAGTTAGTGTACATAATAAAGCCAATACACAATATTAAAGAAGATAAAAGCAACAGGAAATATCATCCTTGAATACCGGTCTATGCCATTCACATCAGTCAAATCAGGAATTTTAATTTTAATCTGAGAGGCGCTCCTCCTCAGTCGCCCTTTTTTGTGAACCATGTGCCTATCCAATGTGCTTCTGCTGTACATATCTCTGTTGGCAATGGGTTTCCGATACTGGATGCTGGCACTGTCATATGAAAACATGGTAGCTCTTGGGTCGATAGTACTGGTTAGGACTTCTGAACCAGAGACTTCATTTCTCAGTTCCAGAGTTGTCAACAAAATGTTTCCATGTGCATCAACCTGCAAAATAAGAAAGTGTCTTCAGGTGGAATCTGTGCACATATGGGCAACAGATCTAGCAGATAAAATAAGGTTTCTTGAGGTACATCATCTTTAAAAAGGCTTAACTTTTTAAAGGATGCTATTATCCAAATTATGAAAAAACATTAGGTTCAATATAAACATACATCTACAATAGGAAATGAGCGAATGACCAGATGGTGCTAACTTTATTAAAAAAAAATCAAATAAAAAGGCATTCCAATCGCAACAACCTGTAGAAAAGGAAATCATGTCCTCATAGCACAGGATTTATGGCAAGACTAGCCATCCTACTTGATACAGACTGGCTAAATCAACTGGCTTTTGTCTAGAAGATCCCTAACCTGAAGTGTAATTGGTGTTTTGGTTCTGGAATCTCTTGCACGTGCCATTTGGTTGCAGTCACAGGACACTGAGCCTCCTTATGCACACTGCAGTTATCCACTGTAGAATGACTTGCTTCCTACCCCTGCATAATTTGCCAAGTGGTAGCACCAACATATACCTGGCTGACAAACTAGGCAGCTGCCTAGGGTGCACTGTTGCTTAGGGGCGCAGCCATGGCCGCTGGTTTCCCCACTCTATGCCATGGCCAAAGCCCATCCCTTAAAAGGATGGGCTGTGGGAGGATTTGGGTAAGATGGGAGGATTTTATGCTGGAAAGGGTAATTTGGAGGGGGTTTAGCTAGAGGAGGGATTTAAGGGGGATTTGTGTTAGGAGGTGAGATTGGGGGAATTTGTGCTAGAAGAGGGGAAGGGGGTTTGTGCTAGAAGAGAGGATTAGGGGGGTTTGGGCTAGGAGGGGGAATTGGGGGTGTGTGCTAGGAGGGGGGATTTGGTTTTGTGTGGGGAGGAAGGATTGGTGCTGGGAAGGGTAATTTGGAGGGGGTTGTGCTAGGAGGTGCGATTGGGGGGATTTATGCTAGGAGGCAGATTTGAGGGAGAGGATGATTTATGCTAGAGAGGAAAAATTGAGGGGAAAGAGGATGTGTGCTAGGAGGGGTGAAGTAGAATTATAGGTGAATTAAATTTTTGGGGAAGTGCAAGTCTCTGGTCTTGCCTAGGGCATAAAATATTCTAGCACTGGCCCTGAGTATATCACGTGTCACTCCAGGATGGTGCTGGCAACCAGAGAAGACAAGACTAAGGCATTAAGATACTAACCATAGCTACATGTCTTTTATGACGTCTATATATACACTATAATAGTTTTTCAGATGGATCTAAACAGAAAATATTACTGTAATAAATTGTTGAATGTCCCATCTATTAACAGAACACTTCCTACTCTTTGAATACAACTACAGATGATTTAAAATGTTATTTTAAAAAGTTACATAGTTATTAAGACTGCATACTTTGTATACCCAGGGGTGTGGGCTTGTTGCCGGTCTGTCTGGGGTGGGCTCTTGACTGGCCTGAGTGCCTGGCTGTTGATTATCTTTTACTGTTAATTAGATCACTGTTAGCTGCTAGCTGTTAATTAGACTACTGTTTGATTCGATCACTGTTAGATGTTAGCTGTTCATTAGATGTACTGATGATATTACTGTTTACAGTTTGCATTGTTTAGGATCATTTGATCAAGCTCTTACCTGATTCTATGTGGTATAAATTCTGTGTGAGTTGACAGTAAAGAGAGTTCCTTGTGGCACCTCAGTAAGTGGTGTCTAGTTCTTGGGTGCAATGCCCATCTATAATACCTTGGTCCTGTGTCCTAACAGTGAGGAAGCAGTTCTCTGATGGAAGCACCCAGGTGGGGTACCCTGCGGTCCGTCACAGTGATCAACTGAACTGTCCATAACTAGTTCCTCAGGGAATGTATTCCACATTTTTAATGCTCTTGCTGTGAGGAAGCCTTTCTGTATATGGAGGTTATATCTCTTTTCATCCAGATATAAAGAGTATCCCCTTGTCTTTGGTGATCATATCCCCTCTTAAGAATCTCTTCTCAACAGAGAATACATTCATTCAGCTAATCTTTCCTCATAGCTGAGCTCCTCCATACCTCTTATTAGTCTTGCTGCCCTTCTCTGCACTTTAAGTTCACCAATATCCTTTCAGTGAACTGGTACCCAAAATTGAACTGCGTATTCCAGATGAGGTTGTACTAATGATTTGTACGGAGTCAAAATTATGTCTCTTTCTCTGGAGTCTATATCTCTTTCAATACAATAAAGTATTTTGCTTGCGTTAGAATCTGACGTTTGACATTACATGGCATTATTAACCACTTCCTATGACATTACATGGCATTATTTACTACCTATAGTAAAATGATGGCCGGACAGGATTCTCGTCAATCCAGGGAGGGCATCACGTGACTTCCCTCCCGGATCACGCATGTGGCAAGATCTGTCACTGGCTGTGTACCGAAGACACAGCCGAAGACAAATCTGTGTATTGGCCCCTTTGCCAGCACTATGTGACCTGCTGTGACCAACCACAGCAGGTCACATGACAGTTGTAAACAATGGATGGCTTCCTTTCATACCATCCATTTTATACAAGTGTGCCTAGCTGTGAATGGCCACAGTGATCACATTCACAGGCTGAGCCAATCACAGCCCATCTGTGTCATGTGATTAGCCGTGGCCAGTCACAGCTAATCACAACAAAAAAAACCTGAATGAATCAATTTCATTTAGTTAAATGCTTGCTTATAGCAAATAAATTATTTGTTATAAGCAATCAAATTGTGTAAAAAAAAAAGAAATACTGATCACTTCCCCAAAGTAGTACAATGTTACTATGGTAACATTATACTACTTTGGTCATAGTGTAATATTAAAAACAAATCTTAAAAAAAGAGAAAAATGTAATAAAAAATACAAAAATAAAATAAAATTGAAAAATAAATTATCATTTTTTTTGTACTGTCACCAGTCAATGTCCCTAATCATGGCCATGCCAGTTATATGATGACGTTGTACTGCACTGGTGACAGTTTTTTAATTTATTAATTTTCCAAAAAATTATGACAAAAAAATTACAACTTCAAAAAAACTCGCCATGCCTCTTATGAAATACGTTGGACTGTCTACTTTGCAGAAAGGGGTAATTTGGGGGATATCTGTACTGTTCTGACATTTTTGGGCCTCAAGAAATTAGATTGGCTGTCAGTATTGCAGGATTGATCAATTTTCAGATATATCCCATAGTTTATGAACTCTATAACTTTCCTACAGACAAAATAATAAATACTGATTTGGGTTATTTTCACCAAAGAAATGTAGCAGAATACATCTTGGCCTAAATTTATAAATAACAATTATTTATTTGCAAACTTTTATAACAGAAACAAAGAAAAACTTTTTTTTTTCAAATCTTTGGTCTTTTTTTGTTAATTTAGCAAAAAATAAAAACCCAAGTGGTGATTAAATACCACAAAAGAAAGCTCTATTTGTGTGAACAAAGTTTGGGTACAGTGTTGCATGACTGCACAATTGTCATTCAAAGTGTGAGAGAGCTGAAACTTGAAAATTGGCTTGGGCAGGAAGGGGGTAAAAGTGCCCGATATTGCGTTGGTTAAGTCTATGAAATACCGGAACACCCAGATCCTTCTCAATCATTGACTTCCTCAGTTGTATTCCACCTAGAATGTATGATGCATGCATGTTTTTAGCTCCCAAGTGCATAACTTTTATCAACATTAAACCGCATAGTTGCCAAATTAAACAGTGCATTAAGGTGTGCTTGTAAGTTGAAGACATCCTGTAAAGACATTATTCCACTACATGGCTTGGTGTCATCTGGAAACACAGAAATAATATTTTTAATCTCAACTGCTATATAATTTAAAAATAGATTATAAAGTAAGGGTCATATTAATGATCCTTAAAGTCAGAAGCCCATTAAGAGATCTTTGGGACAATGCAGCATTGGAGTGGAGGTGAATATAGTTCCACTTTAACAAAACATACAGCATCCTCATACAGTGTGTAATGTGGATCCTGATAGCTAATCCTTCCTCTCCTATTTTCATGAGTCAGTTTCACAGTTTTTCAAGCGTCAGGAAACCCACGGTGATGGCCCCTTCCCCCCACTACCACAGAGCACTCAAGTACCATATTACACTTAGCTCTGTGCTGTGTTCTTTGCAGTGTGTAACATCAGATCTCAGCCCCCTTTCTTCCTGGAAAGCTAAGAAATACAATCTGATCTGTGTACTTTGGAATGTTTTGGAGGAGAGAGGGCTGCAGATAAACAAGTACAGTTTATATAGAAGTATTTTCATAATAACTGTGTATGGTCTGAGGAAAGTTACTTCATTGGGCTTATGTAAGGGTTTATTATTACTTTAATACATTCTATTTAATCTCCATGGAATGAATAATATTGACAGTTGCTACACTTTATTCATCCATTCCTGATATTAATGGCAGTGCAGAGTGCCTGCTGGAATAATGGTAGACATGCATACTTCCATGTTTAGATGGGACTTACATCCAAAGCTAAGCCCTCTTTCTGTAAATGGGAAGACTTGTAGCAACTGTCAAGTGAAGATTAGTGAAGGCTTTTTATACCCGCACTGGGGTTGATTTACTTAAACTGTAGAGTGCAAAATCTGGTTCAGCTGTGGGTGATAGCCAATCAGCTTGTTCAATTAAGCTTTGACAGAAAAAAAACAAAACTGAAAGCTGATTGATTTCTAGGCAGAGCTGCACCAGATTGTGCACTATCCAGCTTTAGTAAATTAACCCCAATGTATTTCTATACTTTCACATAGTAGTTCACTGTAGTCTTATATGAACTTTAATCCATGTTCTCATTTGAGAGAACTATTTTTACAGACATTATGTTATGGATCTTACTGACAGGATAGTCAGCATTCAACAATCTCATCAAGTGTTGAGCACATATAAAATGATTGTATGAGATTTGCAGCCTTGCAGTTGCCTGAAGAGTACAACAGTACAGCTCAAAACATTGAGAATGGATGATTTCATTATCTTACTCTTTCATTTTGATAAAGGGATTTGGGAACTGAGAGTTTTAATACTTTTTTTATATTATATTCAGACTTTTCATGGTTCTACCAATTATACTTTAGAAAGGAGAATAGTTACAATGTAGTACTCAGATCCAGAGAGAAAAAGAATGTGATATATCCCGCTGGGCTGTTATTTTGCTAGGAGGGAGGATTTTTCATAATATGTTAAGGCAAAATTTTGTCTAATAAACACTATCTTGATTCTAAAATAGTCAGCAGACATATAATAGAGATTGTTGGAAAAGTAGTTGAAGGCTAAAAGCAAAGGCTAAACGCATAGAGGACAGCTGGAGCTGCTGGTGTCAGTTTGTGCAAAGCAATATTTCTACTTGAAAACAGAATTGCTGATTTGTGACACAAGACATGAAACTCTTAGAAAAGGATTCCAAAAACATAAAAAATTTATGTGTGTTTAAGGAGGATGGCCTATTTCTTTTATGTCAACAGTTACAACTGAAATACGACTTACCAGACAGGATTGTAGGTATGACTACATGTGAGTGTTTAAAAAAAATGTTTGCCAACTTATTGTTCACGTGGTGGATGGGCAGATTGTGAAAAGATGCTGATGGACTCTGTGACACCAAAAATTAGTTTTTCAGATTACATTGTTAATAGAATTATATGGCTAAATTATGCTTTTGGAAAAGTTATGCTTCTTCCGATGTCCATTCACTGTGCATAGTGCTTTAGGTAAATGGAAGCTCTCTAACCAATGAAGCTCTTCATCATCTAGTTTTAAAATAGAAATCCAGTTAGAGCCCCTTACCTGTTCACTCATGCCCACTTACTCCAACTCACTGAACAAAGTAATTAGTAATACATTTTTAAAATTCCCAAGATAACATGCCTTATATCTGGTTACATCACGAGTCGGGATGTCTTGGTAGCAGGACCCAAAAGGGCAGCTCTAGAGCCTGGAGAGGGTGAGTTGCGATTTAATAACTTTATTTTTGTCCACAGGAATGGGGGGGTAGCCAAAGTATGCAAGCGGATTCTGCACTGGGCAAATACATTTCACTCATTCTTACTCTATCAAATAACATGGTGTTATTCTAGTTCCAATTTAAATCTCATATTTTAGGCAATTACCTGCTCAATAAAAACTAGAATTTTCCTAAATCAAGCAGACTTCCAAACCTCTTGACGGATTTTATCATTTCAGATGCTGACTATCCAGTATGGAAAATAGAACACCTATATACAGTAATACCCAACTGCATGTAATCTCAAACAGATAATGTGATGAGATATATGCATTTCCATGAGGATGTTCCTCTTTATAAAAACACTGTGAATTTTCTTTTTTAACAGCATTGTTTATTTCCCCGTTACCTGGAGTTTATTCTTTTCGTTATTTGCTTTCTCTGCTTTTTCTGCTGCTTTCTTCTGTAGCTGAGGACCTTTTCCAAAGAAGATGTAGTTCACAAAAGCATATTCCAGCAATGCCAAGAACACAAATACAAAGCATCCCATTAGGTAGATGTCTATAGCCTTGACATAAGGGATCTTTGGTAGGGTTTCTCGCAGATGGGTACTGATGGTAGTCATTGTCAGCACAGTGGTGATTCCTATAAGAAGACGTTATGCATGACTCAATGATCTCTTCTTGACAGGTGCACACCAACATTTCTACACTGTAGGCTATGTGTATAAAGGGCAACATATTTTCAATGAAGCTCGAGTAACCTTTTGAAGATAGGTTTTAATGCTATTTACACCTACACTGTAATTGCAATACAACCTCAATATAATTTTAGAAGACCAATAACCTTTTTGTGAATAAATACCTGGACTCCTAAACTTGCATCTGACTTTGAATATTTTTCCTGGAGATAATAAAATCTTTTTAATTATCCTAGGGTTATTTATCTTTTCCCAATAAGAGGTATATTCACCTAGGGAAAAACAACACTGTGGTTCATGGCATCACAATGTAATTTGCTTGAGGCCTGCTACTGTTCCCTGTGGTTATATTTGTAGATGTTTGTTGAAGCAATACACTAAGAACACCAAAAGCTCCTAGGGCCAAATATAAGTAAATAGGATTGAACGTCTCCCTTTATTGTGAGTTTTGGTGGGAGGATATATAAATGTTCAGTATTTATGTTGTAGTGTGAAGTTTGCTCCTAGCTTGATAAAGGGCTAGACATGTTACAAAATTTTGGTATGTAAAATCAAAGCCTGAAAAAATGTCTTATTAGCAAGTATATATTTTGGTACCCCTGCTGTATGGTACTAACTACTAAGATTCACTGAGGAGATTTTTGACCATACAAATGCTCTAGGTCATTAAAGGAGTACATTTAGCACAGTATTTTGAACAAGCTCATGTTTTCTAGCCTCATTCACTCCTCCCCTGACTGGCAGCACTAAATTTAATAAGAGTGGATAGGATGAGTGGTACCTAATAGTTTTTAGAAGAGAAGTTCAATCCTCCATATTTCAAGAGGTATGAAAACTTTTTCAAGGCAAAAACACACACACACACACACACACACACACATATATATATATATATATATATATATATATATATATATACACACACACACACACACACACACACACACACACACACACACACACACAATTCAAATGGACTGATTAACTTTATAGTAACCCAATGCACACCCAATAAATCCCTTTCAATGGAAAAGAATAATCAGATGTATTATGGGGAGATGGGCATAAAGCAGGACCATGGCCAGACTATGGGCATTCAAATATTAACATATTCCTAACAATTAGTAAATAACCTTTATGATGAAAGTATAACTAAAGGCAAAACGTTTCTTTTAGTTTTGGATAGAGTGCATAGGAATTAGAATGTTTGTCAGTTTTTATTGTTGTCTGTGCCCCCTTTAGGGATAATCACCCTCTCTTTGTCCTGTTTACCATTATCATTGAAAGTGAAAGTAAAAGAAAATCTAAAATTCTGGGTTGTCCTCAGAAAAGTAATAGAGAGGAAACCTTCCAAGGGGGACACTAATTCTGGTGACCTGGGAGTCCCCAAGGAATTCCCTTAATTTGCAGGGAATTCCTCTCACTTCCTGTTTGGCTATAAGACAGGAAGTGAAGGGAAATCTCCATAATGGGACACAGAGGGTAAAAAAAAAAAAAAAAAAATAAAAAAAATATGACTGGGGTTATAACACTCCCTTACTTTATCTAAAATGAAAAAAAAAAAAAAAAGGTTTGGCCTAAAGTTCTACTTTAAAGTGTCACTAAACCCACAACAGTAAAATCTATATATGCAGCGAAGCATGCTTGTTATACTCACTGTGAAACCTAAGGGGTTAATCCTCTGTATTGTGTAAAAAAGAAAGTTTGATACTGTCTTCTCTAATCCCTCCTTCTTCCACATTCCCCATTTCATCTCTTCATAGAACACAGCCTCGAGGACACTCTGCACATGCTCAGTTTGGTGTGCACTGCTAGAGAGTTTTTTCTTTTTCTGGGGAGGGTGCATGAGATCAGCACAGGGCCAATCAGCACTCTCCAGAGAGAGGGTCAGGGGTTATGCAATCTAATAGGGCAGTGAGAGGAGAATGAAAACTCTTCCTATAAGGTTCAACCAGTGTCCAGCTAAATGAAAACTCTTAACCTATAAGGTATTCAACCAGTGTCCAGCTAATTGTATTTCCATGATGTGTGTACTGTGGGAGACCAAATATAGTGAATGCAGGGTCTTGGGTTTAGCAAAACTTTAAGTGAAGAATTGTGGGTAAAACCCATCAAAATAAAAATACTAGTGTTTTAAATTTCTTCAGAGTGAAGCTGATCTTTTCCTTTGGATTAAAAAGTAAATAAGCCTCAAAGAGTAAGTCCACTTTTATTGGGGAAAAAAACAATCCTCTCTGGGTGATCAATGTACATGTCAATGTGCCGAGTGACTCTGGGAGTGACTTTTTCATTATTAATGAGCTGCTGCACTTGCAGTGTTCTAATAAGGAAAGTTGCACTGTCTGCATCACTTTAGAAGTAATTAACCCTTTGGGAGTATATTATCAAAAAATTAAATCTTCATGGCAGAGGATGCCTAAAATCTCATTTGTATCTGAGCACAGACTTCTGAGAATATCAGTGAGCCTATCACACAAGCAAGAAATTACATTTCTGTGTGGGGGGGTGTTCCGTACACTGATGGTGTACGGAACACCCCCAGTTTGCTATACTGCATTATATTTTACAGATAATTACAGATAATTACAGTGCTGCAGATTGAAAAGGAAAGGTAATTTTTAATAACATTAAATTACAATATGACTTGTGTAGCAATTTTAAAGGCTAGATGATTTTTTTTTCAAATGAAAGTAGAGTTAGCCTTTAAAATAATCCCCTACAGGCCTTTGTAGTAAATTGTGGAGCAATTCATCATCAAGTTTACAATAGAAGCAGTGCAACCAAAAAGATAATTTTGGATTGTTTTAAGCTTTATTTACTGCTTGCTAAGCACATGCAAATATTTGAATGTCCATAGCCTGGCCATAGTCCCATTACCCTAAATGAGTTATAAACCCTCTATTTTGTGGGTTTATAATTGAGGTAATGGTATGAAAATAGCTATAAGAAGGCTCTACTGTGTCGCTTTCCATGCAAAATAATAAACTATATTACAAATATGTACATGTTATGTATTATATTGTTTGCTGTAAACTGAAGAAACCTTACCTAGTGCTACTCTTGCAGCAGATGCATCATAGTTGATCCAGAAAGACACCCAGGACAGAATAGTAATGAGTGTGGAAGGCATGTAGGTTTGTAAGATGAAGTATCCAATATTTCTTTTAAGTCTGAAGCTCAATGAAAGCCTAGGATAAGAACCTGGAAATCAAAGAAAACATGTAATAAAAAACAAGCCTTATTAATATTTATTCCTAGACCAGTTTTACTGAATCCTTACCAGTGGAAAACACTACTTTCTTTGAGACCATTTTGTAATCAATAATGGAGAACTGAGGCAGCTCGATCTTCTCTACTCCTGTGATTGCTTTATCTCCTCCGTTCCAGTAGAACTCGATGTCATCTGTTGTGTAGCCATCTGCAAACAAAATGTTATAGCAGGTTAAGAAAATAAACATTTTATTCTAAAAGTTGTTCACAGGACATCAATTAAAATGCAATTTTACTAGAAAGAGTTCATCCGCTTGTCTTGCATTGTATTGTAACTCTACTATCTCCTTTTATTTTGTAAAGCGTTTCACAAACTGTTGGTGCTAAATAAATCCCATATAACAATATTAATTCCTCATTGTGATGATCTGCTTCATAGAACTGCCAAACACTTGTTCACTAGTTTGTGATACAAGAAAGGACTGCCACTGTGGGCCCAACTTGTGTTACACACAGTCATATGAATATCCTGTAGAAGGATAAAGCTGTGAACCATTATGTCCTCTACCCTTGGATTCTTTCCAGTAGTGGGTTTTGGTTTTGACACAGCTGTAACACTGGCCAATTAGTTATGCTTTGTCGCAAGCTGAACTGATCTTTTTGGCCTATCAAAGACCATTATTACCCCCCTTTCTTTTGTTTACTTTATACCAGGGGTCACCAAACTTTCTAAACAAAGGGCCAGTTTACTGTCCTTCAGACTGAAGGAGGGCCGGACTGTGGCCAACGGGATTTGAATTTTTTGCTGGTATCAGTGGGACCAAACAGTGACTGCATTTGTTTTCTTTTCTTTTTACCTCTTCTTTCACCTGGTGATCTGGCCAATAACACACCTCCTGTTAGCATTCCCTCACTCTGAATGAAGACGCACAGGGGCACAGCAGATACCAGCATTGTAAATTTGGGGGGAGGGGAGTGTTAGATGGACTAGCAGATTTAGATGCACTACCTCACTGAAGTCAAACTCTAGCTCACACTAAAGTTGCACAAGCAGTGCTCCATCTATGATTTAAAGGAGAGGAATAGTGCCCAATATTCTGTATCAGGGGTTAGATGGACTAGCACATTTAGATACACTAACACACTGAAACCAAACTCCAGCTCACACTAAAGTTGCACAAGCAGTGCCCCATCTTTGGTATTAGGGAGAAGAATAGTGCCCCCATATTCTGTATCAGGGGAGGAAAAGTGCCTCATTTTGATGTCAGTGGCAGGAATTATGCCCCTTTGTTGCTGTCAGTGGGCAGAATAGTATTTCATATTAGTGGGATGAAAAGTTCCTCAAAGGCCGATTAAAGACAACCAAAAGGCCACATCTGGCCCCTGGACTGCAGTTTGGAGACCCCTGCTTTATACCATTGCCAGTTGCAGTATAAGTAGGAAATGGTTTTAGTTAGTCACAGGCAGAGATCCTATTGGGAAAAAACACACTCTAATACTGACAAAATGACATGCACAAAACCAGTTTAAACTGTTAGCGATTCTCCTCATTATAACATTGTGGGTAATGATTTTTGAGGATATCAAATTCTACCTATATAACAATAATATTTTTTCAGTACTTTTTTTTTTTTTTGGGGTATTTCAGATCACTGTAAGATACATGTATTCTGTCACTAATCAAATAACTATCTTATTTTTGTTCTTGTTTTAACATGGGAACAAGAAAAAAAGAATTGTAAATGGAATACATTGTTTAACATGGATAATGTGCACAGGTATCATGTCCTTTTCTGAGATATATTTATAATATACTCCTGACATTAGACATGCTTTCATTTGTATTTTTCACAATGCCATGTGTGATGATGTAAGATGGCATTTTGAAACCACCAGGATGAACTAGACAGAAGTGTTGTATAAGCCATGGAAGGCAATCTGTAACACTGGAGGCACAGATGGCCAACTTGCAATCTTCTGTCCTCTCTGCCTCGTACTTTCCTCTGGGTGTAACATAACATACCGTTTGTGCATTTGCAGCCCCATGATACAGAAATGCCTTCTGTTGCTGCATTGTTTATATGTTGATAAAGGCAACTATTTCCTTCTGTTTATAATGGGCGATGCTGCATGATGAAGAATAATTCGCATCAAGGAGAGCATGGTGTATCTTCTGAGCAGTCCCCAGCTTCAGAGCAGCAGAACGTCCCTCTATGCAGATCATTTTCTTCACCAACAGTGCTCAAAAATTTCCACTGGATTCTTGTTTATGTGTCAGTTTGGTGCTTTAACATAGAATGTTTAGTGTCCACATTTATGTGAAACTCCTAAGCTGAGTAGAAGTGTATGTCTTGCCATCATAGCTGATCTGCTGTAGTAATGTAGCTATCGATGTTTTTTTTTTTTTTACAAAATAAGATAGGCATAAATAAGTGGTATTAAACCCCAAACCAAAAATGTAATCTGTTGCAGCTTACCACTCCTTAGATTTGGTGGCTGCATTCGTTTTCTTTTCCTTTTACCGCTTTCACCTGTTAATCTGGCCAGTAACAATTAATTGTTAATTTGGGGGGAGGGGAGTGTTAGATATACTAGCATATTTAGCTACACTAACACTCTGAAGCCAAACTCCAGCTCACACTAAATGTTAAGGACCGACCGGTGGTAGCCTCTAGCGCTCCACAGACCAGGATTCCCCAGGGCGTGGAATCTAAGCCTCGACCTGCTTGTTCACCAGAGCCCCTGATGGTGGGGATGGACTTGGAGCATGCCGAAACCAGGTCGCAGCCCCTGGGTGCAACCAGCTGTGGTAGAAGCACTTGCCGGTGGTACGTAGCAGGTGAGATCTGATGTGAGGAGGCGGAGTGAGCGAAGTCAGACAGGCCAGGTCAGTATCGGTGGAGGCAGGACGGTACAAGTGGCAGGCAGAAGCATAAACGGGTCACAGGCCAGGTTCGGTAACAGGAGATCAAACGTACAGGATTAGACAGGAGAATGGTCAGACAAGCCAGGGATCAGAGCAGGAGATAGTCAACGAATCAGGGTCAGGCAGGGTCGGCAACAAGGCAATCTCTCAGGAACACAGGATACAGGAAAAGACCATTTGAGGCAATTTGAGCACAGTCAGAGCCTGTTTAAATAGGGCGCCCTGCGCTCTCATTGGTGCCAGGTGCGCGTCCACAAGTGCACATGCGCAACTGCTGTTGCCGTCGCAGGTGCCCAGGTCTTGGTGCCCGCACGCTAGTGCACCCCAGCATACCGCGCATGCGCAGACCCGCGTAAAGCCTGGGGTCCCTGACATTGCCCACCCCTTATGGGCAGCCTCCGGATGCCCAACTGATTTTTCCTTCGAGGCTGGTTGCGAAGGAATTCCTGAATCAATCTATCTAGGAGCATGGACATTTTGAGCAGGTTCCCACGAATTCTCTTCTGGCCCATAGCCTTTCCACTTGATGAGGTATTGCGTTTGACCACCCCTTCTCCTGCAGTCAATAATCGCTTCTACCTCGAATTCTTCTTCTCCATCAATGTCTATAGTCTCTGGGGGTCTAGATCTACGAACTGAAAAAGGATCTGGTACTGCAGGTTTCAACAGAGACACATGAAAAACAGGATGTATTTTAAAAGATTCGGGAAGTGCCAGCTTGTATGCAACTTCATTGATCTTACGTTCTACTCGGAAAGGGCCCACGAATTTGGATGCCAATTTCCTTGACGGGCATGCCAGTGTTTTCAGATTTGGCTTCACTTGCCAACCAAACCTGATTGGTGCATGACCAATTCCCCCTTCTTCTTTTGTCAAAAAATTTTTTGCTATCATCCTGGGCTCTAGCCATTGTTTCCTGTAATAATTTATTATTGGTTGTGAAGAAATTTAGGGGTCTCTTGGGCCGCCAGGACTGAGTTCTCTGGGACCAGATCTGGCAGGAAAGTGGGGTGGAAACCCATAGTTGGTGAAGAACGGGGATTGATTGGTGGCAGAATGGTTCGCATTATTATAAGCAAACTCTGCGAACTCTCATCGGCAGAAGTGTCAGCCAGTCATCTTGCAGAAATGAAGTGCAACATCTAAGATATTTGTTCAAGCGTTTGATTGGTCCGCTCAGTCCAGTCTGTCCGTTTGTTTGCAGGTGATACGCTGAAGAGAAAGACAGCTTGATTTCCCAACCCTCGCATAAAGCCTTCCAAAATGTGGGCGTGATGAACTGAACTCCCCGATCCGAAACAATATTCTTTGGTACTCCGAGAAGTCTCACTATCTCCTTGATGAAAACCTGTGCCGTTTCGGAAGCAGATGGTGTCTTTTCTAGTGGAAGGAAGTGGGCCATTTTAGAGAGACAGTCCACTACTACAAAAATCATGGTGTGATCCTGCGATGGTGGCAGTTCCACGATAAAATCTATGGAGATCATGCTCCAGGGTCGGTCAGGTATTGGCAAGGGTCGCAGCAGGCCCCAAGCCTTGTCTCTGGTGGGCTTATTCCGATTGCAAATAGTGCAAGTTCTAACGTACGTCTCACAATCTTTGGCCATACTTGGCCACCAAAACGTGCGTCGTGCCAATTCTAGGGTCTTGTGTATTCCAAAGTGACCCGCCAATGGATGAGCATGGCAATAGCCCAAAACCAGGGTCTGAGCTTCCTTGGGTACCAGAATCTGTTTCCCCCTCCACAAGAGACCTTCCCTGCTCTGTATTGAAATTCCGGGTAGGTCAGGAATCCTGGTGGACGCAGCCTGTAGTTTGGACAAAAGCTCAGACTGAAGCAGTAAGAAACTACCTGCCGGCAAGATGGTATCCGGTTTGGGTGTTTCTTTAGGGTCTTCAAACATCCTGGAGAGAGCATCCGGTTTCGTGTTTCTAGACCCAGGTCGATAGGTTATATGTAGGTTGAACCTAGAAAAGAATAATGCCCATCTGGCCTGACGTGGTTTGAGGCATTTAGCTGTCTTCAGATACTCAAAATTTTTATGGTCTGTGTAGACCAAAATGCGGTGTAGGGCTCACTCCAATAGATACCGCCACTCTTCTAATGCTGTCTTAATTGCTAACAATTCCCGATCTCCAATGTCATAATTCCTTTCCGAAGGGGAGAGCTTCCTAGAAAAGAAAGCTACCGGGTGCATAAGTTCCTTTGCACCTACCCTTTGCGACAATACTTCTCTACAGCAACTTCTGATGTGTCCACCTCTAATATATATGGTAATGATGCATCAGGGTGGCTTAAGATGGGGGCTGCCATGAACAGTTT